AATACTTTGGTATAAATATAACTGAAGTGAAAGTGAAGATATATGCCTTTTTATAGTTACTTGATGGCTCGCTCAGGGAGTGTGAAGGCCTGCACACAAGCCAATCAATTTTATAATTAATGTACATATATGCAAAGTAACGTCAAAGGTTTTTATTTCAGAATAAAGACAGATGTAGACGATAATGTAAATACATTACAAGGAAAACATATCTTAAATGAAAGCAAAGATATGGTCAAATAAATAGGCAAAACCACACCATCGCCAGTGTCCGGACACATGAATAGTCGCATTAGGTAGGTGAAAGGAAATGTACCCAACCATTTCCATTTACGCAACCAAGAACAACCAATCTCTTCTTCGACAAGCCAGATAACCTTCCTGTCCTCGTCGAGACCGCTAGAGAGAGATACCTGAATTTACCCGAGGGCCACCCTCGAGTAAATTCAGGGGAACTATGGAACCACCTTCCCGACGAAGCCGTAAATGATAAAACATTGCTCGATAAAATCACCAGGGCAAATAGGGGACATTTGACAAGCCGCCGGCTTCCTATCCTCACTGAGAGATAGTGACCCTCTGGTAAATTCAGGTAGTAGTAGTAGCTAGACATCCTTCAGTCTCGGGAGACTATGGAGTTGCGTCCTAGTTGTCAATCCTGGTGCAGCGTCTGGTGTGACTGATGAGGCCAATCCGAGAGTGGCAGTCCTTCCCACACTGATCACAAGCGAAGTCCGATTCTGGTCTGTCTTCCTGGCTACCGGCCTTCCTTCTCTGTCTCTTTGCCTCCGATTCCTTGGCAAGTGACTCCTCGAACTTGGAGAGACCTCTTTGAACAGACTACCCCCCCAGGCTGAACGGTCTGCAGCCAGTATAGCCATATGAGGGAATACAGAGAACATATACGGCACGCATAGACGAGATAAAGCACCTAAATTATTGGGATCGTCTCAAAGCTCTCCAAATATACTCACTAGAAAGGAGACGAGAGAGATATCAAATAATATACACGTGGAAAATACTGGAGGGACAAATCTGCACAGTAAAATAACAACGTACTGGAGTGAACGACATGGAAGAAAATGCAGAATAGAATAAGTGAAGAGCAGAGGTGCCATAGGCACAATCAGAGAACACTGTATGAACATCAGAGGTCCACGGTTGTTCAACGTCTTACCAGCGAGCATCAGAAATATTACAGGAACAACCGTGGACATCTTCAAAAGGAAACTAGATTGTTTCCTTCAAGGAGTGCCGGACCAACCGGGCTGTGGCGGGTATGTGGGCCTGCGGGCCGCTTCGAGCAACAGCCTGGTGGACCAAACTCTCACAAGTCAAGCCTAGCCTCGGGCAGGACTTGGGGAGTAGAGGAAATCCCAGAACCCCATCAACCAGGTATCATAGCAAGATCGACGTCCATGGCTTTCAGGTCCCTCTTGCATACGTCTTTGTACCGCAGCTGGGGCTTGCCTGTTGGACGCTTTCCCTGCCTCAGCTCTCCGTACAGGAGATCCTTGGGGATCCTGCCGTCGCCCATTCGCACAACGTGCCCGAGCCAGCGCATTCGTCTCTGTTTCAGCATTGTGTACATGCTGTTGATTCTTGCTCTCCCCAAGACGTTGTTGTTTGTCACCTTGTCCTGCCAGGTGATGTCCAAGATGTGTCGAAGGCAGCGCATGTGGTAGGCATTCAGCTGTCTTTCCTGACGGGCGCGGAGTGTCCAAGACTCACTGCCATAAAGGAGAGTGCTCAGGACACAGGCTCTGTAAACCTGAATCTTAGTATACTCAGCCTATTGTAAATTCAGGTAAATCTTAGCTAATTAAATAATCCTGAAAAGTTTGCATATTGAAGGCAGGGCTGTGTTAGCAGCATTATACTCTCTAAGCAGAGCAATGCACTGTTGCCCTCCAACCCAGATGATGGGCGCTGGGGCCCATGTCTGTGGACCTATACTTACAACCACGTTCTCGTCTGTGGACCCTCCCTACTTTGGTACGGCTCTCAGTGTGCTTGATAGAGTTAGGAGGGTGTTTGTCTGGTTATGTGAGGTATTTGTTGACCAAACCACACACTAGAAAGTGAAGGGACGACGACGTTTCGGTCCGTCCTGGACCATTCTCGAGTCAATTGTACATTCTCACAATCGACTTGAGAATGGTTTAGTCGTCTCTCCCATATCCCAAGACGCATTTATTATCGACTTTCATGTACTGTGTATTAAAAAGTTTTTATCGTGTATAATTACTTTTATATTCTATAATTAATTAGGCGTATAGTAGGTTCGGTATTTAGGTTCTGTTGGCAATTATTTTCACTTGAAGTATGTGGAGGGAGAAGAAAATTCTAGAAATTTGAGTTTCTTTTTTTGTGTATAGTTCAATTGTTTGATATGGCTCCATAGTGTGTTTCTAGGACAAGTGGAGGGTTTTAGGTAGCTCTAAGCTGATTTTTGTTTGGTCGAGCTAGGAATGGAGTTTGGTTGTGCTCTGAGACTGTTTAGCTTAATGGTGGGGGTTGGATGAGATGTATACGTGCTAGGCTTATGGTTACACAACTGGTCGGGGTCCGGTTACACAACTGGTGGGGCTCAGGTTACACAACTGGTCGGGCTCCGGTTAATAACTGGTCGGGCTCCGGTTAAATAACTGGTCGGGCTCCGGTTAAGTAACTGGTCGGGCTCCGGGGGTGTCACCTGAGTTTTGGGTTGTGCATGGTCGGGCTTCCGTTCGTGCATGGTTGTGATCCAGAGGCTGTATGTTTGGTTCGTTCATGTTAGGCTTGCAGTTAGACAACTGGTTGGGCTCCGGTTACCTAACTTGTCGGGTTCCGATTGCATTACTCCGGGGGTGTGACTTGAAATAAATACAGTTTTGATATTCCTAGAGTACGTCTTAATCAAACTAGAAATGCTCTGCAAATCAAGGGGCCCAGAATGTGGAATGACCTTCCCAACCATGTGAAAGACTGTACCTCTCTCAACCAGTTTAAGATAAAAACTAAACACTACCTAATAAATTCCCTGTAATCTACCTCACTTCTCTATTGTCAACCCATGTCTGTTATTTTCTTTTTTTTTTTTTCTTTTTTTTAATAAACACTGTTTGTCAACCTATTGTATTTGTGCTGCTTTTTCAGTCATGTTCCCCCTTTTTTTTTTATCTTTATTTGTATTTGTTCTCACATCTTTTATTCTTTATGCTCAATTAGTATTAAGTTCTAGATATTAATGTTTTTCTTGCCCGAAACGCATTGCGTAATAGTGGCTTTAGGCATTGTATGTACTAGCTCTATCTATATATCAATCCATTAATGTAACATCACTTGTATGTATATACCTTACCTGAATAAACATCTGAATCTCTTGTTGGGCTTTGAGTTGTGCACGGTTGTGCTCCGGTTCGTACATGGTTGTGCTCCTGTTCGTACATGGTTGTGCTCCAGTGGTTGTTTGTGTACTAGTGCTCCAGGTTTGTTTGCTAGGGCTTTGTTTCTTTGCAAGGGCTTTATGTTTGTTTGCTAGAAATTTGGATTTAACCGATTATGTGCCTCTGTAATCCTTTACACCACCGCCCACGGGATGGGTATGGGGTGCATAATAAAGAAAGAAATTGAATTGAATTGTGATGGTCGAGTGGATAAGGTGTCCTGTATACACCAGTTGCATTGTGCTCCTGGCAGTATGGTTTCGAGTCACTTCTGGGGTGTGAGTTTTCAGTTTATATATATATATATATATATATATATATATATATATATATATATATATATATATATATATATATATATATATATATATATATATATTTCTCTGTGGATATATATATATATATAAACTTTGTTCTCAGTTGATCAAATATAATATTTTTGCTTTTCGTGGGTCCCTATTGACGTCACACCTCTCTTCTAGCCATTATTGAATATATTACTCAATGTATCCACAATTTAAGTCATAGACAGGACACAGCTTGCTCTATAACCTCCCTCTTCTCTGTCTCAACACTTACTGCAAAAGGTTGATACTCCTCCATAAAGATATTTTCAAATTGCAGTATTATATTAAATTCTTAATATTTAACAGAATATTTATTGCAACGTATATAGCGACTGCCTATTTTATGTGGTAATGAATTAAAATAGTTTAGTCCCCCGCAGTATATTTATATTAGGCGTTATTTTAGAGACTGGTGAGGAAAAGTGCCTGATGCCAGAGGAGTTCCAACAATACGCGCCCATATATATCTGCCAATTCTTCACTGATATGAAGATGAATTATAAGATGATATGAATTCTTCACAATTCTTGACACTCCTTCTGAAGATGTATTAATATACGAAAGTACTTAAGGAAATTCGTTTCAATTTTCCTCCGTGGTCTGACACTGTCACATTTTTAATCACGTGTTTATTTTCGTGATATACACACATATCTGCCAATATTTACCTCAAATCAAATGTTTATTCAGGTAAAGTACATATATACAAGGTGAGATACAAAACATTGATGGATTTATAGACATGTAAATGTCACGACCTAAATATATATATACTAAATAAATATATAACTATAAATATATGTTGACATGACCTAAATATATATATACATGTCTATTTAAAGACTTAAAGTAGGTATATCAGATCCTGGAGCAATATTAGTATATAAATAACCCGTCAAACACTATAGAATATATAAAAAACGCCGTGAGCTTATAAAATATTAGAATTAATAATAATAATAATATCATAATATTACATTTCCGAACCGTTCTACGTATTAATGACTCTATAATATACATTATATATCCACCAATATTCCCTGTATCATAAATCTAGTGTATATATATATATTGTATAAAAACAATTATCAAAATAAATTTTAGGCAATCGCAGAAAAACATTTTAAAACGATATATAGAACACCTAGAGTAACGTCAAATCACATTTGCCATGCAATGTATATTTTCTGGAGTAGAAATTGAATGAAATAATGAGGACTAGAAGGGTGTAGTGGAAATAGAAGGATGTGGACAGGATGGGAGAGACGTGTCCGGGCGGCCCAAGAGGACTAAGACGGCCCTGCAGACGACGGAGGAGCCTTTTGACACGTCTTAATGACGGAGAACACCCAGCCCACTCCTTCCCAGGTGCGGGGGGCGGAGAGGCTCCCGGTGGGGGTGAGGGAGGGTTGAGAGCCTCGTCATGGTGGGGGTGAGGGAGGGTTGAGAGCCTCGTCATGGTGGTGGTAAGAGGGTTGAGAGCCTCGTCATGGTGGGGGTGAGGGAGGGTTGAGGCCTCGTCATGGTGGGGGTTTGAGAGCCTCGTCATGGTGGTGGTGAGGGAGGGTTGAGAGCCTCGTCATGGTGGGGGTGGGGGAGGGTTGAGGGTCATGAGAGCCTCGTCATGGTGGGGTGAGGGAGGGTGAGGCCTCGTCAGGTGGGGGTGAGGGAGGGTTGAGAGCCTCGTCATGGTGAGGGAGGGTTGAGAGCCTCGTCATGGGGGGGTGAGGGAGGGTTGAGAGCCTCGTCATGGTGGTGGTGAGGGAGGGTGAGAGCCTCGTCATGGTGGGGGTGGGGGAGGGTTGAGAGCCTCGTCATGGTGGGGGTGGGGGAGGGTTGAGAGCCTCGTCATGGTGGGGGTGAGGGAGGGTTGAGAGCCTCGTCATGGTGGTGGTGAGGGAGGGTTGAGAGCCTCGTCATGGTGGGGGTGGGGGAGGGTTGAGAGCCTCGTCATGGTGGGGGTGGGGGAGGGTTGAGAGCCTCGTCATGGTGGGGGTGGGGGAGGGTTGAGAGCCTCGTCATGGTGGGGGTGGGGGAGGGTTGAGAGCCTCGTCATGGTGGGGGTGAGGGAGGGTTGAGAGCCTCGTCATGGTGGGGGTGGAGGGTTGAGAGGTGGGGGTGAGGAGCCTCATGGTGGGGGTGGGGGAGGGTTGAGAGCCTCGTCATGGTGGGGGTGAGAGCCTCGTCATGGTGGTGGTGAGGGAGGGTTGAGAGCCTCGTCATGGGGGGGTGAGGGAGGGTGAGAGCCTCGTCATGGTGGGGGTGAGGGAGGGTTGAGAGCCTCGTCATGGGGGGTGGTGAGGGTTGAGAGCCTCGTCATGGTGGGGGTGAGGGAGGGTTGAGAGCCTCGTCATGGTGGGGGTGAGGGAGGGTTGAGAGCCTCGTCATGGTGGGGGTGAGGGAGGGTTGAGAGCCTCGTCATGGTGGGGGTGAGGGAGGGTTGAGAGCCTCGTCATGGTGGGGGTGAGGGAGGGTTGAGAGCCTCGTCATGGTGGGGGTGAGGGAGGGTTGAGAGCCTCGTCATGGTGGGGGTGAGGGAGGGTTGAGAGCCTGGTGGGGGTGGGGGAGGGTTGAGGGAGGGTTGAGAGCCTCGTCATGGTGGGGGTGAGGGAGGGTTGAGAGCCTCGTCATGGTGGGGGTGGGGGAGGGTTGAGAGCCTCGTCATGGTGGGGGTGAGGGAGGGTTGAGAGCCTCGTCATGGTGGTGGTGAGGGAGGGTTGAGAGCCTCGTCATGGTGGGGTGGTGGAGGAGAGGTCATGGTGGGGGTGAGAGCCTCGTCATGGTGGGGTGGGGAGGGTTGAGAGCCTCGTCATGGTGGGGGTGAGGGAGGGTTGAGAGCCTCGTCATGGTGGGGGTGAGGGAGGGTTGAGAGCCTCGTCATGGTGGGGGTGGGGAGGGTTGAGAGCCTCGTCATGGTGGGGGTGAGGGAGGGTTGAGAGCCTCGTCATGGTGGGGGTGGGGGAGAGCCTGGGTTGAGAGCCTCGTCATGGTGGGGTGAGGGAGGGTTGAGAGCCTCGTCATGGTGGGGGTGAGGGAGGGTTGAGAGCCTCGTCATGGTGGGGGTGAGGGAGGGTTGAGAGCCTCGTCATGGTGGGGGTGAGGGAGGGTTGAGAGCCTCGTCATGGTGGGGGTGAGGGAGGGTTGAGAGCCTCGTCATGGTGGGGGTGGGGGAGGGTTGAGAGCCTCGTCATGGTGGGGGTGAGGGAGGGTTGAGAGCCTCGTCATGGTGGGGGTGGGGGAGGGTTGAGAGCCTCGTCATGGTGGGGGTGGGGGAGGGTTGAGAGCCTCGTCATGGTGGGGGTGGGGGAGGGTTGAGAGCCTCATTGGATAGTTTAGGGCGCCAGGATGGTTCGCTTTAGTAATTAAGGGACCTCATTTTTTAGAAGTAATGCCCACAGGTTGACCTAGGGTCGGGTCGGGTCAGGTCAGGTCAGGTCAAGTGACCTTGCCTTCTGTTAAGCCGATAATTGCAAGACGGCTGGCCGTGGAAGGTTTCTTCAGACATACCACTGCCTAGGGTTTTAGGTCTGAGGCTATCTTGGGAAGCGTGGCTTAGCTCCCAGATTCCCCATAAATACCCGTGGAATTGCATGTTTGGGGAGAGACAGAATTGAGAATTGAGCAGAGCATCGGTGGAGACAGCTGGCCGTGAGTCCCACAACCCGGCCGGGTGGGGATTGTGTCAACCGTAACCCCCCCTCCCTCTCTATCAAACTTAGTCCCAGTCTTGAGTTGAGTGAACTCGTGAGGTGACGTTCTTAAGGAGGACTTAAGCAGTCCTCGTGGTGTAGTGATTAAGACGCTCGCCTGGCGTTTCGCGAGTGCTTTGTCCAGTGTTCGTATCCTGGCCGAGGAGGATTTACTGCGCGCAAATCCTTAACTGTAGCCTCGACAGTAAAATGGGTACCAGGTTGTTAAAAGATTTTTCACGGAGGTCGTATTCCAGGGAACATAGGATTAAGGACCTGCCCGAAACGCTACGCGTACTAGTGGCTGTACAAGAATGTAAGAACTTTTGTATATATAAATAAATAAAAAACGTATTTGTGTTTTCTAACTTAGGTGTTTGATTTTCAGCGACAGTCAGCCGTAGTACTCTCAATTTCCTGTGTGGTGATTCACATTGTTGTATTCATGTTGATATTTAACATCTAATGATATAGTTGAATTGTGTTACCCATTTGTGTGAAGACCTAATAGTAAATATATAATTAATTAATTTGATGTTGTAAATTTGGGTTTATTTCCGATCCCTGGATCTTGGGTTCCCTGTGATAGTTGCAGTTTGGGGGGGGGGGGAGGAGAACATCTCTGATACTGTGTTGTTCAGACAAGTTCCATTCCTTGTCTTACATAGGTGAACTAAAATGGATGGTGGCAGTGAAAAATATTAGTTCCCTAGAGTTACTGGTAACAATACCTTGTTTTTATAGCCCCTAGGTGGTTAAACACTCTTTGGGAGGGTTGCAGGGAACTCTTGGGGGGGGGGGGGACTCTAGAATTACAGTAGTTAACTAAGGGCGAGCTAAATGCCAGAAAGAGAGCCATTACCCCTAGTCCGTTGCATCGTCATGGTGGTGGGGGTGAGGGAGGAGGGGCCCCACTGCGGTAGTGAGGGAGGAGGGCATATATGGTATGTATATGTATGTATGCACAGTATATATATAATATATACAGTACTGTATATACATACATACTATATATGCACATATGCAAATGTGACAATACACCAGATGGTTATTCAACTAACGTTTACAGAGATGTCACTAGGATTGGTCGTGGAAGGTACTGTATGACGTCACATCTCGGTGTTCAACCCCTGATGACCACTAATTATAAATGGCCACCGTTCCTCTGCTCTGTCCTCACATTTTTGGCTCCTTGTCCTTAATTCCCTTCCAAGTGTGTTGTACCGGTAGTCGTATAAAGGCTTTGTGCTTTCTCCACATCAACACCTTTCCCTAACATTTGACATTATTATTATTAAGCATTTTTTTTAACTACAGTATTTTTGTTTTCTGTTTAGGGGGAGTTGGTGCCGGCAGGCGAGGGAGGGGGTGGCCAGCAGGTGGCCGGGGCAGACACAGCCACTCCGGCGCCAAATGGCGAACAGGCACGTCAGCCAACTGCTGGCGAGTCGTTTATGGCCATTACTAAATCACTTATAATCAGAGCAATTATAATCTACTTCATCACATCATTTTTCAGGTAAGACGTAATACAAGCAAAGTGTTGTTGATAATGTTATTACACAAGGTTCATTGTATTACTGCATTGGGTCTAGAGATATTTTAATATAATATGATAATTATAGTGAGAATACAGTACTGTATTTTGAAAATTTTATCGGTTGCAAATAGGTGTTTGTTTATTTGCACTTACACAGCGTACTATATATATTTTTTTTTGAGCTAATCCACTCTTGTTATATCCCAAGTCAAGAACCTACTAACTCCTGGAAAGGATCTTGCAGTTAGGGCTGATTTTCATTTTGCACTAGTGCAAAAACTGTCCTTGCTGGGTCATACTGGTTTTAGAGACCCAGAATGCAGCCGAAAAGTGCATTCCCATAAAATGCACTTGTAAGTCGAGTTGTCTTATCCTTTGAAACCATGTTTCGTTTGTGCAATGGATCTTTGCTTCATTCGTGACATTTTCTGCATTTGGACGTATCGACCTGCCTTGCGTTTGGGTCTGGGAATCGACGTTCCCGGTTGAGCCGAGCAGACAGCACGCTGGACTTGTGATCCTGTGGTCCTGGGTTCGATCCCAGGCGCCGGCGAGAAACAACAGGCAGAGTTTCTTTCACCCTATGCTTCTGTTACCTAGCAGTAAAATAGGTACCTGGGTGTTAGTCAGCTGTCACGGGCTGCTTCCTGGGGGTGGAGGCCTGGTCAAGGATCGGGCCGCGGGGACACTAAAAAGCCCCGAAATCATCTCAAGATAATCTCAAGATAGAAGAATCCCACAGCACAATTTCTGACGAGCTTCTTAGTTTATTGCAACTGGTTGGTTAAAAATGACACGATCTTCTTTTTGCCCGGTCAGCTCGTGCTTTCTGTAGTGGTGATTCATCTCTGTATATTCCCAATCCATTTGTGGTTCCTTGGAATTTTGTTTTATAATATATGCAGTTCTGTTGTGCACATGCATAATTAAAAGGGAACCATCTGGTTCGTTAGAGCAAAACAGTGAATTGCTTGAAATTACCACTAAATTCACAAGTATTTGGTACTTGTCACAACAAAAGTGGATACGTTCAAGAAACAATTAGAGACGTTCCTGCGGGAAGTGTCAAACCAACTGGGTTGTAATGAATATGTGGCCCTGTTGATACGTCCAAATGCAGAAAATGTCACGAATGAAGCAAAGATCCATTGCAGAAACGAAACATGGTTTCAAAGGATAAGACAACTCGACTTACAAGTGCATTTTAAATTTTGACGGCTTTGGTTATATTTATTAAACAGTTTACAAGCATGAAAACGTCCCATCCAACTGTTATTATAAACAGCCTCCTGGTGCTTCGGAGCTCATTAACGGCTTAATAATTGTAAACAAAGCCGCCAAAGATTGAGGAAAGATGTATAGGTTCGTAAGTGCTTGCGTAACTGTTTCGTGAATCTGGCCCCTGATTGTTAAACGATTTGGCAGGTCATATTTTGGGGATAATTAGGATTAAGGACCTGCCCGAAATGCTATGTGTGCTAGTGGCTCTACAAGAATGTAAGAACTCTTGTACAGTATATTTATAACAAAAATCTCAAATTTAATTTGTTAAATATTTTTAAGACGTCCTTCACAACCAACTGGGCCTCAAGATGGACTGGAGGGTCAAGTAGATCATAGTGGACGTATTCCCGCCACCAATCTTTTCGAGGATAGAAGTACTCTGGATCTTCACGTGTACATGTGCGAGTCCGAACACTTTACCACGTTTAGTGATCTCAAGGCTTTAATTTGGTTGAAAGAGGACATTGTTTATGGAGACTGGACTGGTGGACCTTATGGAGATGGCACCTACACACACACCATTAATTTCCCTGCGTCTGAGGTAATGGAGAAGTATCAGTTATGATGCTCTTCTGTGTTTTAATTATATATATGTAAATATTGTATATACTGTATATACAGTAAAACAATTTTATAAATATAGGTAACCTTTGTTTACATATTAGTTACTTTTTGGATTTGCAGCGGTTACGGAACAATGGCTCTTTGTTCATCCATGTGTTCTTTGTGAAAAGTGGGTTCTCCCCTGATCCTAGCAGTGAACTATACAATAAGAAGTACACATTATACAGCACACAACGCCTCAATAAGTACAAGCGACGCCGCTACAAGAAAACGAGCAATCTAATCACTGGAGAAACAAAGCTTACAGATGAGGAAGTTTTGGTAAATATTTGTTTTGGTTTGGGTTAAGCTTGCCAGTGAGAGAAAGATGATATAATTGTATATAACTCTTGTGTTAATGTTCATGACAGTTGCAATATTGGAAAGTTTCTCAAATTCATAATGTGCGATTATAGAATCTTAAGGTAGTACAGTATTGGAAAAAATGGGATATATTCCATGTACAGTATCTTCAATCAGGGTATATGACCCTGTTCTAAGATCCTACTAACCCTAGTAGGATCTTGAACCCATCAAGCAGGCAAGGATTTCTTTCTTGAGTCCCCCTCAAGAAATTGTACCGAATTTAGTGACATAAATGGTAATAAGTTTTGATTCTATGCAGAAAGCGGATACACTGAAAGAAGAAATCGTGTCACACTGGCACCCCAATCTGACCATCAATATTGTCCACGACTTTACGCAGTGGACGCGTGGTGCTGTGCCGCCACCTCTCGACGAGTATGTAGAATTCACGCCGGCAGGAGACAGGTAATGTTGGCTTTTGTCGTGTATATATTTACAAGAATTGGGATTACCTTGAGGTGCTTCTTCCGGGGCTTAGTGTTCCCGCGGCCCGGTCGTCGACCAGGCCTCCTGGGAGGGGCATTGCTTGCTAAAAAACAAATGAAAATAAAAATGTGTGTGTTTTGATAATTTGCCATTTTTTTAGCATAATGTTTGTATTTATTTTTTCGCTATGGCTTTTGTGTTCTTATATGTATAAAATGTTCAATGGATATTAACTGTTGTTGTTTTATGTCACCATTTTAGGTAATGAGAAAGACTAGTTCCATTTGTTTTGTATGAGAAGACATAAGAAATTTGGACACTTTTGGACTATATTATTTTCAAAAGTTAACTTTTGACATTTAGAGTTAACATTAGAGCTCTTTTTTTTTTTCTAGTGAAGATTTGTCCATGTGTATTCCTGCACTAAAGAATCGTTTATCCTGAAACTCCAAGTGATTATTTGAGAATGTTTCTCATTTTGCTTATTTTTGTTGAGCAGTGGCCTCACATTTTGTAGGTCGGTGTTCCACCCCCCGGTGGTTGAGCAGTGGTCTCACATTTTGTAGGTCGGTGTTCCACCCCCCGGTGGTTGAGCAGTGGTCTCACATTTTGTAGGTCGGTGTTCCACCCCCCGGTGGTTGAGCAGTGGCCTCACATTTTGTAGGTCGGTGTTCCACCCCCCGGTGGTTGAGCAGTGGCCTCACATTTTGTAGGTCGGTGTTCCACCCCCCGGTGGTTGAGCAGTGGCCTCACATTTTGTAGGTCGGTGTTCCACCCCCCGGTGGTTGAGCAGTGGCCTCACATTTTGTAGGTCGGTGTTCCACCCCCCGGTGGTTGAGCAGTGGCCTCACATTTTGTAGGTCGGTGTTCCACCCCCCGGTGGTTGAGCAGTGGCCTCACATTTTGTAGGTCGGTGTTCCACCCCCCGGTGGTTGAGCAGTGGCCTCACATTTTGTAGGTCGGTGTTCCACCCCCCGGTGGTTGAGCAGTGGCCTCACATTTTGTAGGTCGGTGTTCCACCCCCCGGTGGTTGAGCAGTGGCCTCACATTTTATAGGTCGGTGTTCCACCCCCCGGTGGTTGAGCAGTGGCCTCACATTTTGTAGGTCGGTGTTCCACCCCCCGGTGGTTGAGCAGTGGCCTCACATTTTGTAGGTCGGTGTTCCACCCCCCGGTGGTTGAGCAGTGGTCTCACATTTTGTAGGTCGGTGTTCCACCCCCCGGTGGTTGAGCAGTGGCCTCACATTTTGTAGGTCGGTGTTCCACCCCCCGGTGATTGAGCAGTGGTCTCACATTTTGTAGGTCGGTGTTCCACCCCCCAGTGGTTGGGCACCGGTCTTCACTTCATATCCCAGGTCTTATTGTGTCCTCACATCTCTTCCAGGTGCTATATGGTCATATTGGCTTTGCACTTTCTCCTGATAATTACCTTACCTGCATCCTTAGGCAGCCTAATCAGCTTGATATTCTGCATCAAGTATGTCTAGTGCTTGTCATATTTGCCTTACCTTTTACATAACATCCTCCAAAGATCAATCAATGATGTAACTTTTTATCATGAATTCCCATTAACTGAAACAAACATTCCCATCGAAGGACTTGTATCTCCCAGCCTTTCCTCTAAATTCAAACACAAATCCTTCATATTAATGTCATATTAGGACATGTCTTCCATCATATACACAATGAAATCCCAATAATGTGACATATCTGTGGGGGAAATCTTTGGAGCAGGATAAGGGATTGAACCAGCATTCTGGGTAGGCCCAGAAGCTCACTTTTCTACCATTGTCCTTGTATTTTTATGTATAAATTCCTCGCCTTCTTCTCTATACAGATACACATTTTTTTCCAATTTAAATATTACTCTATTATTTTCATCAAATATTAAATATCTCATCACCACCAACTCATTGTAGGTTACACAAGACCTTAAGATTGACCAATGGGCCATATGGACCATTGGTCATATGGGTCTCATATGGCTCATATGGTCCATATGAGCAACTCATATTTATATCCACTCAAACTCATTCGTATACATGTCTAACCTATGCTTGAAACAATTCAACAATCCAACGTGGAGCATACCTGGAGTGTGTTTTGGGAGCAGTTCTACTCCCTGAGCCTGGCCTGGGGCCAGGCTTGACTTGTGACAACTTGATTCAACAAGCTGTTGCTTGGAGTGGCCTGCAGGCCCACATATCCACTACAGTCTGGTTGGTCCGGCACTTCCAACGTCTGTAGTGCTACCTGGTAATATTAGCCACAATTCAATTACCTTGTTCCCTAACCAGTATTTTGTGAAGGTAAACTTACTAATTTATATCTATTTTTTCTAGGTACAAACCCATTACATTCCTGAACACATACTGGAACCTGGTGAAGGACTACCAGGCCATCAACAGCTCTTCTGAGAACCTGGAGTTAAGTCTCACCTTCCAGCCTTTGTCCCTCTTCAAGTGGCAGCTGTATGCAGCCCAGGCCATGAAGAGCAGGTATGAGTGCCAGTATTTGTTTGAAGAGTGCCACCAACAGGGCCAGGGAGTCACAGATGCAGTCGTCAGCCAGATTATGCAGTTACCTGCAGATGAATGCCCTGCATTTGAGCTGTATGGGAGTTTTAATGCTTAGATTAAAAGGAATTCTATTTTTGCATTATTTCACTCTTGCATGAATGACAACAGGAAATTGTCAAATTGTCTATTAGTTTTGAAAATAATTAATAATGAACACTAGAAGCTGGGCAGTCATGAGATAGTTTGTAGTATATAATACAGTATTGGTTGGTGCTCTAAACTTTGGCATACTTGTCGTGTACATACATAGATGCCAAAACATTTCTTTTTTGTTTACTTTATTAATTATTCTTGTACTGTAGCATGGTGGCCTTTGTCTGTGGCTCCCAATCAAGGGATTCAGGTGATAATCTCCTGGCGGGACAGGAAGGGTTTGACGTTTTTCACGGTTTGTGATTTGAACTAAAAATCCTCAAATTTGGCAATGGAAAAAGAGGTTTACCGTGTGCAATAGTGTATGCCTTGGTTGTCTTTGTGAAGCTTCCTGTGTGCTCTTTATGCCAGAAATGTAAGTGAAGCCTTTTAAAGCTTTGAAAAATCCTGTTAAAAAATTATTATTAGTGCCAACTTGGCTAAGAAAATGAATTGTTAGTATTAAGAGAGTTAAAGAAGGTATAATACTCAGCAAAGATGCAGTAATGTGAGTGTTTGAAAATATTTGGGGGAATTGACTTGACTTTAGGTAGGCTGAGGTAGTCTGCTAAGACTGAGCGTATATTCAGTATTAGGTAAATATTAGGTAATTATTTATTTGACCTTAAAGTTAGTTAGTTCCAGAACACCATAAACAAACTAGGCAGAAACGTTAACTATTTTTTGTTTACCGTTAGTGGTAGTGGCTCAGGAATGGAATGCCTGCGAGTCGACTTTTGACTCTAGGATAATAATGGGTTTTCAATTGAGAACTTGATTTATCAAACCAGAATGTGGAGTGATCGCCACATTATATTTTCATGATAGGAATAATTTAATTGTTTAGAAATGTGGTAGAATTAACTTCAATAAGGTTTGAGATGTTAAAATGATTTGCCTAATTGTGAAGCATTCCTGCCCATAGTACTAACTCATGGCTTTCATCTTTGACTTTGTATGCTATCTAAATATTCATTGTTTAGTCTGGAAGAGTTTAAGCTTGTACTCAACCCCTAACTACCAAAAAAAGCAATATACATTATGAGTAGAACCTGTTGTTCAGTTTCTCAATCAAGCTGATGCACCAATCTTGCCCCCTCCCCCCAAAAAAAAATAAAAATAAAAATACATTGTCCTATAGAATCTATTTCGAACATTCAAGCAATTAAAATGTCTACGTTAATGGCTTGGTTTAACTTATCGTATAGGAAGATCAGCACGAATCTAATAAAGCTTTTTCTTACACTGGGAATAATTTATATATGACATGGGATATACCCGACTCTCCTGAATGGTATATTTTGTGGAGGTACTGTATCTACTTGTATATGACATGAGATGTGCCTGAATCTCTTGAATGGTATATTTTGTGGAGGTACTGTATCTACTTGTATATGACATGAGATGTGCCTGAATCTCTTGAATGGTATATTTTGTGGAGGTATCTACTTAAATATGATGTGGGGATATTCCTGACTGCTGAATGTGTTTTTTGAAGGTATCTAGTCCAGATTATAATCATCCATCAATAATCAATCGATCAATAATTCTAATCAAGTTTTGTAATGCCTTTAACTTGTTGCTTCTGTAGATAGATCCTCCTCAGCTGAACTTTATTATGTCAAGTGCACTTACTAATTTTAAGCCAGTTATCACAGCCCATCCTCCTGTTTTGGTAGTACTTGTAGTAACAATAAGGACTATAGTATATACAGTATACTGACATACAATGAAATTAGAACATAGAACTCTGAACTATTGAGTTGGACAAACTGGAAAACTATTTTGTTTACTTGTGTTGTTTTGACAAACTAACCTAACCTATTCTAATCGCCATAGGCCTGATACACGATATCTGAGGCCTAATATAGTACGTGTGTGTGCTATACTAGGCCTAGGAATATTTAAATTTGTGTTTTAGCTTCAACCTATTCTCAAACTTTAAATGGGTGAGATGCCGATCTTGCTTGAACGCTTAAGCTACGACGACTAATCTGAGTATCTAGTGGGCCTTTTTTTTTTTTTGAGAGAGATCCTTACTAGTCAGTATACTACTATCTAAAAGCTAAGAACTTACGAATCCTGACTATTGACGATCGTCAAAATAGATACAGCTGTATTATCTAAACAGGAGGATGGGTTGGGTTATCAGCACTAGATTCCTTCCAAAATTAGCAGATTGCAGTCAGATTTAGTTAAAGGGTTTTCTGCCATTGATTTATACCAATTGGCATTACTGTACACCTACCTCTATAGTGTCTTCAGGTTGTGGTATTGTAAATTAGAATACTGTTGATTGAAATGGTCAGTTAACAGTTGTAAGCAGATTTTTGTTTACAAATCTGTAGAAATGGTGGTCTCGCGTGGCTGTCATTGGACTATCTGTTTATTAACAATAAAGGTATGATGTATTTATTCATCTGCTGCTTATTCTCCTTTGCTATATATCTTGATGAAGTTGCTGTATGAGACACAAGGGTTTGTATAAGGTTACTCTCCACCCATTTTTCAATGGTTTTATTTTACTTTTCTAAATTCACATCGTTCTACTACCAGTGTGCATGGTTATGATGGCACGAATTTGTCCTCGAGTCTTCTTGTGTTTAAACCGGCACTAATCTGTCCATGGGTCTTTTCATGTCTAAACCGGCACTAATCTGTCCTCGAGTCTTGTGTTTAAACCGGCACTAATCTGTCCTCGAGTCTTTTCATGTCTAAACCGGCACTAATCTGTCCTCGAGTCTTGTGTTTAAACCGGCACTAATCTGTCCTCGAGTCTTTTCATGTCTAAACCGGCACTAATCTGTCCTCGAGTCTTGTGTTTAAACCAGCACTAATCTGTCCTCGAGTCTTTTCATGTCTAAACCGGCACTAATCTGTCCTCGAGTCTTGTGTTTAAACCAGCACTAATCTGTCCTCGAGTCTTTTCATGTCTAAACGGTGTGTCTTTGATTGTCCTTCCTGGTATGGGTTGTGTTTGTCAATGTGCACATCAAAGTCTATATTCCCGGTGGTGTTTGTCCATGTCACATGTCTGTCAAACTTGTTTCTTAATCTGCAATCCTGGTTTTGTTTTTTGTGGTGTATATTAATCCAAGTGTTTCTATGTTTCTAATTGTTTTTGTTGTCATCTTCCTAGACTGATAAAAAGAGTTTGACACTGTTTCAAACAAAAAGGCCAAGTTCAGGTGGAAAAATGGGGGCTGGGGTAACTAAGAAGTTACTGGGTCGGATTAACAGTATCTGACAAATAAGGAAACAAGCTGCAACTCATTCTTGGGCTGGGTAGTATAGCAACGGCCTGCCTTCTCGCAGGTCAGCGTTCAATTCTTGACCCTCCAAGTGGTTGGGTACTATTCCTTCCCCCCATCCTATTCTAAATCCTTATTCTCATCCCTTCCAAGTGCTATATACAGGTAGTTGTAATTGCTTTGCATTTTCTCCTGGTAATTGCATTACATCGTCCTCTCTCCAAATGCATCATAATTTTTTGGGAATCGACCAATCTGTTAAAAATATGATGAACAGTATTAGTCAAAATTAAAGGACAGTATTACTGTATTGATATTTTCTATGTACCGGCCTTGATAGGTTAGGCGGGTTGCATAAGTTTGTACATTTCAGGTTAGGCAAAACAAAGACCTTTATTTACAGTGTGGCAAATTCAGAGTGGGATGTGTAGTGAAGGAGGCAATGTCAAGGTGTAGGGAAGTGGTGAGCAGAGTCCTACAGGGCTCCTGCTTGATGGGGTTCTGAGAGTTGTTCTACTCCACATGCCCGGCCCAAGGCTAGGCTTGACTTGAGAGCTTGGTCCACTAGGCTGTTGCTTGTAGTGATCCACAGGTCCACATATCCATCACAGCCCAGTTGGTCCGGCACTTCTTGAAGATGTCCACGGTTGTTCCGTCAGTATTTCTTATACTCGCTGTGGGTATGTTGAACAACCGTGGATCTCTGATGTTTATACAGTGTCCTGATTTGTATTTGCTCGGCTCTGCATTTGTACCATTACTTATTAAAAGAAAGTTATAATTTTTATCATAGAAATATCACTAATTCACTTAATAAACGATAATTCACAATAACCGGAACAATGAACGCAATGGCAGTGACTCTGGGTGACCTGGGAATTTAACATTAATAAACAGTTTATTTCTGACGACATATTTTGGATGGTTTGGTACATTGGAGAAATGGGAAAGATCACTGGAAGATGTCTCTTGTTTCATGGTGATTGATTATACCCAGACACCACAGTGGAATGATGAGATATCTTGTCAAAACACCGGATTTTCTGACATATAACACTAACACACACACACACACACACACACACACACACACACACACACCACACACACACCACACACACACACACACACACACACACACACACACACACACACACACACACACACACACACACACACACACACACACACACACACACACACACACACACACACACACACACACACACACACACACACACACACACACACACACACACACACACACACACACACACACACACACACACACACACACACACACACACCACACACACACACACACACACACACACACACACACACACACACACACACACACACACACACACACACACACACACACACACACACACACACACACACACACACACACACACACACACACACACACACACACACACACACACACACACACACACACACACACACACACCCCCCCCCCCCCCACCCCCCCCCCCCCCCCCCCCCCCCCCAACCAACCAACCAACCAACCAACCCCACACACACACACCAACCCCACACACACACACCAACCCCACACACACACACCAACCCCACACACACACACCAACCCCACACACACACACCAACCCCACACACACACACCAACCCCACACACACACACCAACCCCACACACACACACCAACCCCACACACACACACCAACCACACACACACACACCAACCACACACACACACACCAACCCCACACACACACACCAACCCCACACACACACACCAACCACACACACACACACACACACACACACACCCCCCCCCCAACCAACCAACCAACCACAAAAACTGGATACTCCCCAAAAGCATATTTTATGGAAAATAATTTTAGTATGTTTCATCATACACGTATTGAAAGGGATATTCAAGAAGTTTTGTAGGAGGAAAATATAGTTGTGCATGTAAAATACAATATATATACTGTACTTGATGTTGGACCCAAAACATGGGAGCCGGTCGGCCGAGCGGACAGCACGCTGGACTTGTGATCCTGTGTGGTCCCGGGTTCGATCCAAGGCGCTGGCGAGAAACAATGGGCGGAGTTTCTTTCACCCTATGCCCCTGTTACTTAGCAGTAAAATAGGTATCTGGGTGTTAGTCAGCTGTCATGGGCTGCTTCCTGGGGGTGGAGGCCTGGTCAAGGACCGGGCCGCGGGAACAATAAAAAGCCCCGAAATCATCTCAAGATAACCTCAAGATAACCATGTATACCTCCCATCTGCCACAAATATGGCACTCGAGAGATGAGTGCAACGGATGCCGTTCAATTCTCCTATTTGCAAACACGCCAAATGTGAACCCAATATTTTGAGAAAGCCAAAATCAGACACACAGAGTTGTTTGTTTATAGAATGCATAGTTTTTGTCGTTCCTCTCGCAACACAATTGTAAGGAGTTTGTGTTTTTCATCCGTGTGTGTTTTGTTTAATGAGTTTTTCACTACTGTACAGTTAGTAGACAAAGGATAGTACAGGACAACTCCATGAAGTTGCTGAAAGGGATATTACTTTGTATAGTATTGTTTCATTTTGTGTTTTTGTTTGTGGAAAAGTAGGAAGGAAACTATCAGGAGAATGCGCCAAGTCATTTACGACTATACCAGTATAGCACTTAAAAGGTGTCAGGATAAGGATTTGGGATGGGACGGGGGAAAGGAATGGTGCCCAACCACTTGGACAATCAGGGATTGAACGCCAACCTGCATGAAGTGAGACCGTTGCTCTACCGTCCAAGCCAAAGTGGTTGGAATGAACCACTGCTGAGAAAAGTGGTTATTGAGTAGCACACGGGCACATCAGGAGGAAGAGAAGTGGTGAAAAGCAAATACTTGCTACAAGCAAAGACATTCTTTAAAGTTTGCATAACTACAATGATTTATTGAGGCCATAACATTTGTTCTTATTTAGAAAACGTGATACAGATGATTAGTAGCACACAGCCAAACAGTGTGTGATATACAGTATACATAGTGTTACTCATTGTGTATGGTCATGTTGTATTAATGCGTTATTCAGGCATATACTATATACCCCAGAGTGTGACAATATGGTGATCTTATCCAAGAACTAGTGATGGAGGTAAATAAGCCCAGTTCAGTAGTGGAATGACACATGCTTCGAAAGCCCAAAAGTAGGAAATAAACTGCTAAACTGCTATTATGTTGTGTATGAACATAAACAGAATCGAGATACAGTAGTTTAAAACAATCGGACACGGTCCCAGTCTGACTAATCGGCTAAAGATGTGCAAGATGAGGAGCATGAACACAAATATGAAGCATAATGAAAAAAACAAAACTATAACAGTTTATGGTAACCAACCCTAATTTAAACCTCCTTACTCCAGATTCAACTTCATTATGAAATGGATAATTTTTGGAAAAGTAGAACAGGTCTAATCCCAAATAGTGTACTAGAGTGAGATTACACTATATTTTCATTGGAAATGTTCTTGGGCATAGCAGGAGTAAGAGCACCATCGACAGAAATCGACACCAGGGGAGCTATCGGCAGCAATCGGCACTAGGGGAAACCATCAGCCGCAAGCAAGCGCCTTCAGGAGCACCGGTACCAGCAGTAGCAGCAACATAATTGTTGTTGTCAGCAACCGCAACTCCTTCCCTCCTTGTGAGGCCTCATAACAAATGTCGTGCAGCTGCTGTTCACAATTATCATGCTTGTATACAAAACAAAACAAAATCCTCTAATGGTATAGAGATAGGATGATAAATTGTCACTAGACCAAATCATTTTAACTACCAATGGGTCTATACAGTAACTAGATGGGTGACTGAAGCTCCTTGGTTATGGAGACCTTCCTTGACACACACACACACACACACTCGCTACCCTCTTGATAATTGTACTGTATATCATTTAATACCAACGTATAATTTTTATTTGTATACACTTTGACATTGCTCATCTTTCTCAACTACTTGAAATCATTCATTCCTATAAGTGTTTTGTTACTTGGTTACTATTACTTAAACTATTCTAATGTTGTTTTCTGCATCAAAGACCACCATGCATCCATCTATATCATTCTATGTTTTCTATTTTTCAAAGACTACTTTATTGATCTTTGAATACTTTTAGTCAACCCTATTTCTCAATTTAAATTGTGAGTAGTTTGATCAATATTTAAGAAAACTTTAGTGCCATCTTAAAAATGACTTGTTTATCCCATGTAACTCACGACCCCTCAAACACGTGTGCCATGTTTTAGGAACTGGACAAAGGCACATTAACACTATGATTTTTAACTTGCACACAGATGGCCAGGGACAGCGATGTTGGAAGGTTTGGGAGGGGATGAGGATGAGGAGGATCAGGACACCATCAAGGAAGCCTTCCTGGAGACGTCACCATACCTACTGGGTCTCACCATCGTCATCTCTCTCCTCCACTCGGTCTTTGAGTTCCTCGCATTTAAGAATGGTAAGTCATCTATACAAAAATATTTTATCAACAACGAAATTGCAAGAATGTGATGAATCTGAATTTTGATATGCAGACGATGAGTCATAGTAAAGTGGCTGAAGATAGGATGACAAACCACACATCAGATGATGTCGTTTTTTCATCTTCTAGCGTGTACCATGATCATTTTGATCATGTGATTGGATTGAACCCACGTCCCTAATTTGGGCACAGGCAGTGGTCCAGTCAGTAGTGTGTGTGCGCACGCCTGAGGAATCCAGTGAATCTGGCTCGATTCCATGATAAAACCTCAATATCTCTTAATATTGTGTTTTAGACAATTGTGTCTAAATTGTCTATTGTTAAAGTTAGTGTTTTTTTCTAGATTGAACTAAAGTTTGGAAATTTTACCTTTTGGGAACAAAACATAATATAAGACTGTAAAATGATTATGCTAGACATTGATATTTATTTATTTATATACAAGAAGGTACATTGGGTCTATGAGAGTACATAGCATTGGTGTTTTTTACATTCTTGTAAAGCCACTAGCACGCATAGCGTTTCGGGCAGATCTTCGTTTCTTGGCACCTGGGGAGCCAAGTGCCACCCCCTTTAAATGCAGGCTACGTAAATTTGTTTTTTTTTGGGGGGGGGGGGTAAAATAAAAGCTAGAATATAAACTCATCATACAAACCAGATAAACCAAAGTTGTGGTTGGGTTTGGCTCTGGTCAACGCTCACCTCTCCATTGAGCGATATGATATACAAATGACTTTAGATTTGATAATGAGACTCATAAGCTTGCATTATACTGTAACAGGTTACCTCATATGTTTTAATTATCTCTAATTTCAGATATTCAGTTTTGGAACAACCGTGAAAGTCTTGAGGGTCTGTCGGTGCGTTCAGTGTTCTTCAACGTGTTCCAGTCGGTTATTGTGCTCCTGTACGTGCTAGACAATGAGACCAACTTTGTCATCAAGGTGTCCTGTTTTATTGGGCTTGGTATTGAGTTGTGGAAGATTACCAAGGTAAATAAAAGATATTGACCATTTTTGACGGTGAATTTAGATTTTTGTGCAGAATCTAATTTTGCTATCACGACCACTGCACCATGTCACCATTCCTTCCATAGTCTGTTGCATCACGGTACCACCTCTATGGTTTGGATAAAATGTACATAATGGTAGTTATCTTGAAGTGAAAGTAAAAAGTGGATTAAAAGCAGAGAGCATTAAAAGCATTTTTTTAGATATAAGTTAAGAATTATTAGTGCAGGGAGAAAGTGTGAGGGGAGAAAGTATTGTGAAGCAGTTACTGAAGAGAGAGGATTATACTAATAAAAGCATGGTCTATATTGAGTTAAGACGGTCTATATTAAGTTAAGACTGGGAGCCGGTCGGCCGAGCGGACAGCACACTGGACTTGTGATCCTGTGGTCCCGGGTTCGATCCTGGGTGTTGGCGAGAAACAATGGGCAGAGTTTCTTTCACCCTATGCCCCTGTTACCTAGCAGTAAAATAGGTACCTTGGTGTTAGTCAGCTGTCACGGGCTGCTTCCTGGGGGTAGAGGCCTGGTCGAGGACCGGGCCGCGGGGACACTATAAAAGCCCCAAAATCATCTCAAGATAAGACTGCTCAATAGCTCGGTCGATAGAGCTTCGGCCTCGTTCACATGGGGTCCGCTGTTACTCTCTCCTAGAGACCAGCTGAATGGTATGGGGACATGATTATATAATTCCCATGGTGTCCTTATAGATTGTATAGCATTTTATTGCATTTCACCGTAACACATTTAAGAAGATACATCACTGTGTCATATGGCAATTTTAACACTTATTTTACATATTTCTGCATGTTCTGTATAGTGTGAACAATGCTCTTGAACCTTACTGAGAGGTTGCACAGTAAAAACCTATAGTTGTAATTTCTGTGTAATGAATATTGTATGACTACAGTACTCATTACATGCATTTTAATGAGCTAAAATGGGGGTTTAGTGAACTGCAGTTAGTGCATTTTAGCAGGTGCTTTTATACATACAGTACTGGATGGTGGAGTTTGCTTTATGTATGTTATGAAATTGGCATGTAACTAATATTTGATTTGACTCAACAGGTAACGGACGTTTCTCTTAACCGTGACAATAGGATCATGGGCATTCCTACCATCAAATTTACCGACAAAGGGACATACATCAAGTCCATGACAAGGCAATACGACGAGCTAGCCTTCCGGTACCTGTCAATGGCGTTGTTTCCGCTGCTAGGTGGCTACTGCGTCTACTCTCTCATCTACCACGAGCACAAGGGATGGTACTCCTTTGTGCTGTCAATGCTCTATGGCTTCCTACTCACCTTTGGTACGTATCCATTTACTGTTATGCTTAGATTGTGTTAGATTCGTGAATATTTTGACATTGTATCTTGTAAGTGGAATCTCTTAAACGTGTACTAGCATTCTAAAAGTGTTTATGTTCAGTCCATTCTCTCGGTTTTTGCCTCTGTAAAAAATGCAAATGTTTGAATGAACCAGAAATGTATGAATCCAAGCAACCCAAAAAATGCAATGTTTGGGTGAGAAGATGGGTCTTCCCCCCCCCCCCCCCCATAGTGGGTTGAGAATGTGTGTTTTGCCCCCCCCCCCCCCATCTTGGCTTGAGATGATGGGTTGAGCTCCCCATCTTGGGTTGAGAAGATGGGTTGTCCCACCATCTTGGGTTGTGCCACCCCCTTCCCCAAATAAGATGCTGTATCATCACTGCCAATGATCTTTATCATCCACTAAAGAAGTTTAAATATAAATTTTGAAAATATGCTGCTTTTATTATGGTAATTATTTCAGATGTTAATTATTGGTATTTTTGTTTTAGGATTCATCATGATGACTCCACAATTGTTCATCAACTACAAACTCAAATCTGTGGCTCATCTTCCATGGAGGATGCTTACCTATAAGGCCTTGAATACCTTCATTGATGACATATTTGCCTTTGTCATCAAGATGCCAACCATGTATAGGTTAGGCTGCTTGAGGGATGATGTCATCTTCTTCATCTTCTTGTATCAGGTATGGCTTTAGTGTTGTGTCTACAGCAGCATCCTTCTCTCTCACCTTCCCTCTCCTCCTACCCCTCCTCTCCCCATCCCTCATCTTCCTTCCCCCTCCTTCCTCCCCCCTTCCCCTTCCTCCTCCCTTCCTCCCCCCTCCCTTCCTCCCCCCTCCCTTCCTCCCCCCCTCCCTTCCTCCACCCTCCCTTCCTCCCCCCCTCCCTCCCTCCACCCTCCCTCCTCCCCCTCCCCCCTCCCCCCCTCCCCCCTCCCCCCCCTCCCTCCCCCCCCCCCCCCTCCCCCCCCCCCTTCCTCCCCCCTCCCCCCCTCCCCCCCCCCTCCCCCCTCCCCCCTCCCCCCCTCCCCCCCCCCTCCCACCCTCCCTTCCCCCTCCCACCCTCCCTTCCTCCCCCCTCCCCCCCCCTCCCACCCTCCTCCCACCCACCCTCCTCCCACCCACCCTCCCTCCCACCCACCCTCCCTCCCTCCCACCCACCCCTCCCTTCCTCCCACCCCCCTCCCCCCCTCCCCCCTCCCACCCTCCCCCCTCCCCCCTCCCACCCTCCCCCCCCCTCCCCCCTCCCCCCCTCCCACCCTCCCCCCTCCCCCCTCCCACCCTCCCCCCTCCCCCCTCCCACCCTCCCCCCTCCCACCCTCCCTTCCTCCCCCCTCCCCCCTCCCACCCTCCCTTCCTCCCCCCTCCCCCACCCTCCCTTCCTCCCCCCTCCCACCCTCCCTTCCACCCTCCCTCCCACCCTCCCTCCCACCCCCCTCCCACCCTCCCTTCCTCCCCCCTCCCACCCTCCCTTCCTCCCATATAAAGTTATTAGGTGTGCAAGACTTTTAATCTGTAGAATATTTCCTATGAAGCTGCCTGAAAGTGACAAGAGTTAATATTACCGATTGGTTTCCTTGCTAATACAAACATTTCTTTCAGCGTTACATCTATCCTGTCGATTCTTCTAGAGTAAATGAGTTTGGGTTCTCCCAAGACATGGAGAAGAAGGCGAAGGAGATGAAGGAAGCAGCATCACTGGGCAATGGTGCTGCTACACCTGAGCTAGAACCACTCAAGTCTCTGGAAGACAAGAAGGAAGATTAATATTATGGAAATGATGGGTTAGTTAATGTAGTAAACAAATTGTTTTATATGGGTATCTTTCTCAAGACAGGACGTGGACGACATGAAATGGCTCGAGAAGACACTTGCAGTATTCATAAAGTAATTAACGCCTCTGAACTTGGCTGTGCGAACAAGTCTTATGACAAATATTTTATGGCTGGATTATATAAGGATTAGGATGCTTGAACTTTATTTAACGGAGCAGAATAGTTTTGCTCGTACAAAGCAATTCTTTCAAATTACATATGTTTTATTTTTATGACTGAAAAGCTGTAAGAGTTTAAAGTTTGCAGAATGGTGAGGCTGGACTCATTGTACGAGGGAGCCAGATTATGTAATGGTGATAGTTAATGTTTATAGTTAACCATTAACAAATCCACGGCACCACTGGCAGTGAAGGATGAGATTAGTTTTGACATGTGTAATGAAGACTTGGAGGAGAATATAGACTTTTTTTTTTATAGTCAAGGGACTTGTAGGCTAAACAAAAATACATGTGGTTCAAATTACATGCTGCCAAATAAAAAAAAACTGGTTTTAAGAGCCTTTTTCACATCGGTGGAGATACCTCCACACCCAATAGTTTTAAAGTGCTAATGAATATGGCCCTTATGCTTAAAAACCAATAATTGAATGTTAAATCGGGCAATTTTTGCTATGTGTCGCTTATTTGAGGCAGTGTCATTATACTTGCGTCTATGTACGTGTGCACTGTCTTGTCGCTGGGTCGCGTTACGACTACAAAACACCTATCAAGTTCAGATTTTGAGTAAAGGGATTTGCAAGGATACTAATTAAATTGCCAAAATCTGTACTTGTAAAACCCATTGTACATTCTTGTATATAAATAAATTGTTAGTGCTAAATGTGCAATTTTGTTTGTTTTTTTGTTTTAGCACCAGCTTGTTCTGTTGGGCTGCTGTTATTAAGTCTGTGAGTGAGCGTTGTGAATATTTGTTACGTCTTTCGTTCCGGAATTCGAGTAATGATTAGCAAGTGCAGTAATTAAGTTTTTCTTACATGTCGTAAACAATTCAAGATATTGCTGTAAGTTATGTAATATACAGCGCACAATATACTTGATTTGCATATTTACTGAAAATAATAATAACCGGTAATTCATTTAGAGTAACTTGATCTTTCCCTTCATCATTAGACGTTTCAAAGGAATGCTAGTGTGTGAAATTCTTTTGTGGCCGTTTCTTAAACAGCCACAAAGAAATTGTGCTTCGTTTAAGCAAACTAAAATATAACAGCGAGGATGCAAGAAATAGCGGAAATTAGGAGGAAATTATAAAGATGGCAGTGGACTAGGATTTCCTACAATACCCAAATGGCATATTAATTAAGCCTGACCAGTGTATTAAAGTATGGTATTATAAAATTATCCTTTTCCTTACTTTTCTGTAATTTAAAATATTTTTTCTAGGCTTTCAGACATTCACATTTGTAAATTTTTTAGCGATACGTGGAATATATGGATGTGTGTGTTTGATTTTAATCGCACTGTTTCTTAGGAATGCAGAATTTTATTGTGTTCAACGAGAATGTTACCGGTGAAGTGTTGGCGATGTTAAATATGATTGTTTACTTGTAAATATCCTTTTGTGGATGAATAATTTTAACATTTTAGTTATAAAAGCAATGGGCCAATTTGATTATTTTTGCCCAATTAGAGCTGGGTAATTAGAACTATATGTAATGTTTTGTTTGGCCTTTAATAAAGTTAATATAAAGTGTAATCATTTACTAAAACGTCCTACACGTGCATTGTGTAAAAACTGAAAATAAAATGGGTTCTATTTAATAATAGACCTAAATGAGGGGGTGCATAAGATGCAAAGAACTTCCTAGTTGTTCTACTTAAAGTTTATTAATGTTTGCCACCTCCATGTAAGCACTCCAAGTGCATTGCTTAAGAAGCACATCATTGTAGTGGTATAATGAGCAAACGATCAGTATTTTAAAGTTGTGCAGAGTGCATTGTATAATAGTTTCAGGAGACCAAGAGTTTCATGCCCACTGGCAGAAACTTTAAAAAAGAGCACACACACCACTGCACATGTTTGGAGTCTACATGAGAACTGGATAAAGGCAGTCGCTTGTGTAGGTGGGGCGTGTGTGTGTATGTAGACAAGATCTTAAATCTCTGGGAAAGTTTCACAAATATTGTGGCGGTATGATAGTGGAGTAACAATGTCGGAAAAATTCAGAATTTTAGGGACCTACCTAATCCAATGCTAGCTAGCTTTTTTTATTATATATCTGAACATGTAATTTATGTACATGGGTTTAATCAGCTTGTCTTTCAGTGGGCACAATATCCAAGAATGATGTTGAATCAACGTTCTCAGCATGACGGCTGAGTGGACAGAGCTTGGGATTTGTAATCCTAAGGTTCCAGGTTCGCTCCCCGGCGGAGGTGGAAACAATTGGGCAGTTTCTTTTCACTCTGATGCTCCTGTTCACCTAGCAGTAAATAGGTACCTGGGAGTTAGACAGCTGTTACAGGCTGCTTCCTGGGGGAGTGTAACAAAAAGGTCTGGTCGAGGACCGGGCCACGGGGACACTAAGCCCCCAAGAGCATCTCAAGCTCTCAAAATAGCATCGATGACATTGATTTGGCATTGCTCTTGGATATCATGGCCACTGGGTCTTCAGACATTCCTGTAGTGCTGTCAACAGGATTAAGCACACAATACTACAGTATATACTCAGATGTTGTGAAGTGTATCTAGTAGAAGAAAGTGATAGCGAGTCTTCCGTCATACCGAGATGTATCCTGTGGAACTGGGGCCAGATTCACGAAGCAGTTACACAAGCACTTATGAATGTGTACATCTTTCATCAATCTTTGACGGCTTTGGTTACATTTATTAAACAGTTTACAAGCATGAAAACTTCCCATACAACTGTTGTTATTGTTATAAACAGCCTCCTGGTGCTTCGGAGCTCATTAACTGTTTAATAATTGTAAACAAAGTCGCCAAAGATTGAGAAAAGATGTACAGGTTCGTAAGTGTTTTCGTGAATCTGGCCTCTGGTTGTGTACCAAGAAGTGGGTAGCAAGTATTAATAGTAAGTTCCGTGTCTAGTGAGGAAGTCTCACAAGATTACTACACTATTGCTATTACTTAACATGTTACCTAAGTCACAATAGTTTCATTTCAATTTTTTTATATTTATTTTTCATGAACTTAACTACACTTGTACCCCTATTATCAGCTGTCTGGTATGTGCTTACTTTTTAAATTGTGTTTTTCTTTTGTGTTGTTAATTTGATTTTTAATTGTTTTATCAAGATTTCATATTTTGTTATTTACTAGACTTTCATATATTTTTTATGATTTTACATTTTAAGGACTATTTTTGTAAGTCAAAGGAATTGTTAAGCTTTACATATAAATGAATACAGTATATAATATGAATAACTAATCCCTGTACATTTCTATGTTTTCAAATTTAATGTTTTTCCTAAATAAATATATGATTTATGAATGGCATAAATTTGTTTGAATTTGTGTTTATTGGCCTTCAAGGTTTTACCTAGAGTTAGAAAACACTAAAATACTCAACAAAGTTATCATTACAAGCTGTGTAATATGTAATGTTATTCTTTTATTTGTATGAACCATAAACTTCAAATTACAGCAGTTTTCCAGTCAGACCAACTACCCCTCATGACTGGTGCTGGAGTGTTGACCAGATCACACACTAGAAGGTGAAGGGACGACGATGTTTCGGTCCGTCCTGGACCATTCTCAAGTCGATTGAGAATGGTCCAGGATGGACCGAAACGTCGCTGTCCCTTCACCTTCTAGTGTGTGGTCTGGTCAACATACTTTAGCCACATTATTGTGACTCATTGCCTGCATATGGTGCTGGAGTGCTTTCATAAGCCTCTCGGAAGATTTATGATTGATCATGCTGCCATCATCACACTAATGAACAAATCCACAGCCTCTCAACTACTCTATGGATCATGTAAGGGAAAAAAACTTGGTCCTGTTGTTTTTAAATCACCCCTGTGTTTTGCATGCAAGGAATGAAAGTGTATTACCCATTGCCTTTCATCTGGGAATTTAGTCTGCCCAGGAATATGGACACAGAGGGAAGCTCAGTGTGTCCTAGTTGAAACAATCAATGACCAGGATTTTGCTACTGGTTATTCTACTGTTTGTAAGAGGTCAGTGTATATTAGTATATCTGGAGAGGGTTTTGGAAGAACTACTCGTGTCGTCAAATAATTTGCTGGTGACTTGTGTATACTACCCCATGGGGGTCCTTGCTCCTTATCTGCTCCCCTATGTGCTTGCTCTCTTGGGGGTTCAAGAAATCTTTAAATGTTGGGTTATGCTTACCTCTCCATCCTTTTCCTCGGGCTCGTGTGGTGTGCAACAATGCACACAGGATTTTTCACTCTGGAAGATCCACTCCTCCTTTACCCTGGGAGGATTTTTCTCAGAGTTGAGTGCCTGCTGCTGCCATAGACTCTACCACTGGCTTATGCCGATAGACTTAATGACGCTTGCATTAGCCTCCGCTCAACAGTTCTGGACGTGACTGCACCGCCCCTTGACTGCCTTGATGATCTATGCACTACCACTTGTGTTTCCAGCTAATGTATTGCTGAGTCAATGTCTATCGCAAATGAGATTGGCTCTTGTAGCACCGGTTCTCATCTTCCTCCTGAATTCCTTTCGTGAAAGTGACGTGTTGAGTTACATCCTTTGGGTTTTACTAAACAGTCCTGTTGAACATGATTTCCACTCTGCTTTTTTGTCAATCCATGGCAGTGAACTCCAATTGGATTCAGAGATAATTCTCAGTCTTCCTCATCACACTTTATATATATGCTCATTGAATATGCTCAATATATGCTCATTGTTATTAGCATGGAATATACTAATAACATTAGGAAAATACTATGTCCCATAGAGATGCAATCATCTTCCCTATTAGGAAATTAGGTTAAGGATAAATTGACTGTTGATGGTTATCTTCAGATGATTTCGGGGCTTTAGTGTCCCCGCGGCCCGGTCCTCGACCAGGCCTCCACCCCCAGGAAGCAGCCCGTGACAACTGACTAACACCCAGGTACCTATTTACTGCTAGATAACAGGGGCATCAGGGTGAAAGAAAGAAAGAAACTGCCCACTGTTTCTCACCAGTGCCTGGGATCGAACCCCGGATCATAGGATCATGCGTCCAGTGTTCTGTCCGCTAAGCCACCGGCTCCTGGGTTTGATCCTCAAACCATTTCCCTAACTTTGTGTCTGCAAGCATTATTAATGCTGAAGATTTACCTTTGATTGAATAATGAAGATTTAAGTCACCCAAGAGGTGGCATGGGCATGAGTAGCCCCGTCAGTCTTTGATGTTTTAGAACTTAATTATCGTTTCCTTCCCATCCTATTTTAGTTCCCACTAATGGTAGATATGGAGGTTTATATTCAAAACAATTCCTCAGTGGGTACATTGGAAGCATCACACTTCAATCTACACAACCTTTATACAAGAAAAAAACAAAGCAATATCAACAGAGACCTCTTCCACAAGTTAAGAGGCGCTTGGCCGAGTTGACGGGCCACATGTGTGGCCCACATAGCCATCTCTCAATTAACAAAAAAAGTTAACACAAACAGGTCTAAAAGTCTTACAAAACAGTTGCTAGGACGGGACCACCGGACGGTCAACGACCAATTCAACGTATATGATGAGAACTGTGAGTTTGGACGGTTGGGCCCCCTGTCATCAGCGCCTTCCCCCTGGCCCCCTCTCGTGGGCCCGTGGTCAGGGGGCCATTAGATAACTACCCATGAATTAAAGAGGAGTGGGATGGGGGGGTGACATGTGGTTTGGTGGTGAATGTTGTTATTATGGTTCAGAAAATGAGAGGAGATATGAGGGTTGAGGTCCCCCCATACAGGATGGGTATGGGGGCGACTACCATCTACAGGATGGGTATGGGGGGCGACTTCCACCTACAGGATGGGTATGGGGGCGACTACCACCCACAGGATGGGTATGGGGGGTCCACTACCACCTACAGGATGGGTATGGGGGTCCACTACCACCTACAGGATGGGTATGGGGTCCACTACCACCTACAGGATGGGTATGGGGTCCACTACCACCTACAGGATGGGTATGGGGGTCCACTACCACCCACAGGATGGGTATGGGGGTCCACTACCGTCCACAGGATGGGTGTGGGGTCCACTACCACCTACAGGATGGGTATGGGGGTCCACTACCACCCACAGGATGGGTATGGGGGTCCACTACCGTCCACAGGATGGGTATGGGGGTCCACTACCACCCACAGGATGGGTATGGGGGTCCACTACCACCCACAGGATGGGTGTGGGGTCCACTACCACCCACAGGATGGTATGGGGGTCCACTACCACCCACAGGATGGGTATGGGGGTCCACTACCACCCACAGGATGGGTATGGGGGTCCACTACCACCCACAGGATGGGTATGGGGGTCCACTACCACCCACAGGATGGGTATGGGGGTCCACTACCACCCACAGGATGGGTATGGGGGTCCACTACCACCCACAGGATGGGTATGGGGGTCCACTACCACCCACAGGATGGGTATGGGGGTCCACTACCACCCACAGGATGGGTGTGGGGTCCACTACCGCCCACAGGATGGGTATGGGGGTCCACTACCACCCACAGGATGGGTATGGGGGTTCACTACCACCCACAGGATGGGTAT